GAGAGGAGAAATATGTGATTAAAAATAGATTTTTTTCAACATTCTTATAAAACCTCATGAAGAGTATAATTTTCCTTAAAAGGGGTAATATACCATGGTTTTAAAAGCATATTTTTCCTCTGTGGGAGGCTTAGAGTTAAAACCCACGTAGATCTTGATATGCAGCCTAAATTTGGCATCAGGAAATGGGAAATTGCATCTTTAAGCAGAGTACAATCAAAAATGAATTACAATAAATCCTATATAATTGCATAGGTCATTCTCTTTAATGAGATTTTATTAACCTGACTGTCAAGCTTTTGAGTCAGGCAGATATTTTATCTTCTTCAACTGATAAAAGTGTCAGCTATAAACCACCATATAAATATTCATAAATCTACACATCTGTGGCAGCCTATCAGCATCATTCTTTTGGACATTAAAAGCATTCTAATTACTTTCTGTCTAGCAGAGCTGAAATGCTGCCTGTTATAGTATGTGCTTGGCAGGCATGATTGCTTTTGTTTGCCATCACAAATAGCAGCATCCTATTTTATATACCGATGGTCCAGAAAATATTCAGGGATTGACTGAGCAGGATGAGTATTAGGAAGCACCATCTGGTTTTGATAGCACCAAGTATATTAACTCATCTGTTAATTTTTGACACATCATTGATTTATTTATTTAGAAAAATTGCATCCTGTTTTGCTGTGTTGATGTTTGCCATTATGGAAAAAAATGGGATGGCATTTTTTTAAAAAGACATAGTTCATTGATTTAAGACAAGGGTGATGCTTCCAAAGAGGCTTTCATTTTCTAACTTATATTTTCTATGCCATGAAGTCCTTACTTAAAGAGAAGTTACATTAGTGTTTTAAGGAAATTACCTATTTTAAACTAGCTGGAAATCCTTCAGGTAGACATACTGTATGAATACATGATCGTAGGTCACAAAATTTTTTTTCTGCTTCTGCATTTTAAATATTAATATATTTCACCCTTCGCTGGGCTAAAATCAAAAGGTTACCACTAATCTCGACTACTGTGATCTCCTTCATAGAAACAGAATACTCTTAGGGATTTGCTGTGATGGGCAAATTCCATCCAAGGCTTTGCTTACAAAGAAGGACATTAAAGTAGGGAGCGCATGTTTGATTGCTGAGTTCCCATTCCTCTCCTTGTTCACTTATCATATTTAAGATGGATTAAGCCACTTAAATTCAGAAAAATTTCTAGAAATGAATTTTTTTAATTAAAAAAATAATCATGGGTTCAGATTCTGGAATCTGACTAGGTCCAAATTGCAGCATAATATTAACTCCCAACAGACCACACAATAAAGCAAAATAAGTTAGAAGTGGTCATTTTAGAGTGTTTCATGACTGTGACATTTTGTGTGTTTTAGAGACGTTAGGAATAAAATAAGTAGTTTTAAAGCCCCTTTGTAAACTGTTGACTTGGTATTTCTCTCTGCCATCATCTGAGTAGAGCATTCTGTGGCTGGCGGGGGAGGGGGGGGCAGTTTAAAAAATTCAAAATACGTGTTCTTAAGAATCATGGATCAGTGACCATTCAGCTGTTCATATGAAAACAGAACTTTTGATTTCTTAGTGATAATGGGCATTGCATAATACTTGCATTTCTAATTATGTTCTGTCTGGAAAAGCTGAAGTATTGCTGTCTGCAATATGTAGTAAGTGGAAAGATTTACTGTTTTCTACCAAGTGTAATAGTAATATTTTTCATCACATTCTTCAATGTATTGATGTTAAAATACTATTGAAATATTTTAAGATACTGAAAAGAAGAAATTCCATTTTAAGGCTTATAGTTGCTGTTTTTGCATATGTCAAGTCCGAGAATGAAGCATTTAAAAAAAACTGCAGGCAAGAACTTATTTATGATTCTCTGATATTCTGAGTGCACTTTAATACGTTATCTTCATAATGTAGGGTATTACACAATGATTTCTTTCTTAGCATATTATGAGTTCACCCTTCAATTAAGAAAACAAATCATACTTGTCCCGAAGTCAGATTCTTTTCCCTTAAATCTATATCCTAATGTGATTTATCAATATGATTAAAACTACTGAGTGTTATTTAGGGTAGTGAACAAATATATTGAGCAATTCTTTCTAGACAATTCTGTTTTAGCCTTCCCTTTCATATTTTGTTCTTTTCATCAAGGTTATGTTAACGGTGTATAGGCTGTAAATCAATTGGGACTATGCTGATTAAAATGCAAACAGTAAATACAACTTCAGGTCTAGAATGGGATTATAGGATTAAAATGAATGAAAACTGCTAGTGTGCTAGAATTGAAAATTCCCAATCAATATCATCCTTTGATTTTACTAATAAAACAACAAAAACCCGGAAGTAAGGAAATGAGAGGGCAGCATCTTAAAACCTCCCCACTTACCTGGTTCAACTGTTTACTGTCTTGTTTGTGTTTGTTTTGGGTCATTGTAAAGAAATCATACCCAATATTTGAGGTCTTTCTTTACTCCATTAAGTTTTTATTTAAATCATGGGCTCAGTTCTCCATTTCACCTGGCAGGGGTTGGTGTGTAAGAGATTCTTCCCTCATCCGCACCCCTTTTTCTCCAAGGTAATAAACGGACTTTATTTTGGCAGCATCCTCATCCGAGTTCCCAGCCCGTCAGCCCATTCTCGCCTGAAACTATGCCCAGCATCTGGTTCCTCCATTAGCACTCAAAATAATGGTGTAAGACAACAGGCTTTTACGTGTTTGTGGGATTCAGGGCAAGAGTACAAATGCAGGCCCACATACCATATATACAAAATAATTAAAAGACCTGATTCAAGCTAATGAACAGTTAAAATATGTTCTGTATACCTACCCTGACAAAGACACCTTCATAATGACCAGATTCGACTTTGGTGCTTTCAGCCGGCCCATGGCCTTCTCTTGCCACCCCCAACTTCATCTTCCTGTAGAAGGGACCTCACACACATACACACACACCCACGTATGGGTGCCACATTTCAAACTTTGGAGCTCTGGCACCATGGTCTGTCTTTGGAAAGATGGCTCAGGGAGGAGACCAGTATAGGTCCTCGGAGCAGTTTTGAGTAGGGAATTCCTGGATCTTGGGTGCCGCACCATGAAGAGTGGGGTGGGCTGGAGGGACCCTCCTGCCTGTGTCTAGGGCAGTACTACTAAGTGAGGAAGCACCAGGCCAAGAAGAAAATAATTCTGTGGCATCTCAGCCCTCTTAGAGTGGTCTTCCCACCTCTTCCCAGCCAAGTAAACCTGAAACTGCTATGAACTAAGATCCTCTGTTTATTTACAAGAGTCCATGCATGCATGAATTCAGTAAATATTTCTTAAGGTACTATGCAGGCCCTCAAAACCCACTCAGACCCCCTGTGCTCATGGAAAGTATAATCTCTACTCTCCTGAACCAAGAGCGCCAGCCTCTGTTCTGACTTGATTGTTTCAGAGGATCTAGGAACGGTAGCATTTTATGGATTTGGGAGATTTGAGGGGTGCTGCGTCCTATATACCAGGCACTGTGCTTTGGTCTTTATGTGTATATTCTTATTAAACTGTTGAAAAAGGAGACTTGGACACATACACACACCCCCGCTCCTCCAATTACCTTAGTTACTTCAGAAAAGAATAGTAAGAAAAAAAGCACAAAATGGAGCATAAAGCGCTGCAGGAAGGTTTCTGAAGGGTGGTTTCATTGGTCATATATCCAGGATTTCTGGAGAAATCAATTTCTAATCACAACTGTTTTGTTCCTTGTTCCCATAGAAGCCCTTGAGGACCTCACCATTCTTTCATTTTAAAAGTTGTGGGGTTTTTTATTTGTTTTCAGGAAAAAGATATAGTTAGTCAACATTTTCAGAGACAGCAAGTAGTCAGTTTCATTTCTATGATAAACAATAGTTACTGGCACCAAAAATCTAGAATATTTTGTTTGTTGCCATTATTTCGGGGGCAGGGCGTGAGGCTTCCTCATACCACTTTGTAAGCCCTAAAACCTGTATCTCTCTGTATTTTTAAGTAGCCCATTCTGGGTGGTGGTCAGGAAAGAAGGGAATCCACCTTGTGACATTTATATTTAGAGTGAATTTTCAAGATCTTTAGACTGACAATATTAAATCACATTTCCACAGTTTTGGGTTTTGTTTTATTTTTTTCTTTGCTTTTGCAGCGAATTGATTGCTTTCTGTTTGCTTTTTGCTTTCTCAGATTAACAGTTAATATGCTTTAGAATTTGTGTAAGTGAACTAACTGGCATTCTCAGCACATGCCATTTTAGGAGATTGGGCAACTTAATGGAAGAGGCACTACTGCTTTTCAGGTGATGCTGAAAAGCATTGACCTTGACGAGAAATCTAAGTTGGCAGATAAATTAAAAGAAAGAGTAGTGGACACAGATAGCGGATAACACACAGTTTTGCTTTGGGGCTCCTCATCGTCTGCCTGATGGGCCCACTCTTTGTTTTACCTTAGATGCCTAGTGAGCTCTTCAAAAAGACTTATCTTTCTTCTCCAGTTTGTATCTGGGAGCAACGTACTCTCGGCAGGGATTGTATCTGCTGATTAATAGCAAGGGCACGAGGGCACTCCAGAAATAGAAGTAATGATTGCTCTAAGCCCTCCCATCAATGAGGAATTGAGTCTGCAGTGGCTGCTCAATTCATTAGAGTAAAGATATTAATGAAGCCATAGGTGTGAGTTCAGACCTGTGCAGGCCAGTTAATGCCACAAAGGGGGAAATCTCTCCTCGGTCCCCAAAGGCACAGTCCAGCAATTTCCCAGAGGAAGGGGCTAGGGGCGACTCGGCAGGCACCCCACCAGTCAGAACAGCAGGAAGCTACGTATCCTATTAAAAGTGGATTCTCCTTGTCACCTTAATATGTAACGGTAGAAATGCATATTTTTAACATTTTTTAATGTTAAACTGAAAATTGGGGACTTGACTCATCCCTTGTCTTTGGCTACTCGTCTCTGATGTGTCTTTTCGTATGTTTCAGAGAGTCGCATGATCTTGGATGCCTTTGCCCAGCAGTGCAGTCGTGTTCTGAGCCTCTTAAATTGTGGAGGCAAACTTATGGACTCCAACCATTCTCAATCCATGATTTCTTACGTCAAGCAGGAAGGCTCAAGTTACACTGAAAGACTGGACCAGTGCCACATTGGAAAAGGGGTCCACAGTCAGACTTCAGACAATGTAGACATAGAGATGCAATATATGCAAAGAAAACAGCAAACTTCTGCCTTTTTGAGAGTTTTCACTGACTCCCTACAAAATTACCTGCTCTCGGGGAGCTTTCCAACTCCAAACACCTCATCGGTCAGTGAGTACGGCCACCTGGCCGACGTGGATCCTCTGTCAACCTCCCCCGTGCATACACTAGGTGGCTGGACCTCCCCAGCAACGTCTGAATCCCATGGTCACCCGTCGTCTTCTACACTGCCAGAGGAGGAAGAAGAGGAAGGCTACTGTCCTAGATGCCAAGAGCTGGAGCACGAGGTCATTTCATTGCAACAGGAAAATGAAGAGCTCAGGAGGAAATTAGAGAGCGTCCCAGGTACCCCGTCATGTTACAAGAGAACTGCAACTCATTCCTTTCCATGGTCTCATCTGTGTGTGTGTGTGTGTGTGCGCGCATGTGTGTGTGCATGCATGCATGCATGCATGTATAGCGTTTGTTTGTTTCTTTGTTTTTGGCCAACGATGTAGAAAAGTTGGAAAAACAGGTATGCACAGGGTGCCCTTAGCCTGCCTTTGCCAAACAAATTTCAGGATGAGCCTCTAGCCTTGTCCTGTCTGTATTTAAACCACAAAATTCTTGGGTATAGGCCTGAAGATCATAGTCCTATTAAAAGATGGCTCTGTCAATGTAAAAGTGATCCCTAGATGTGGTACAGTGAGATTGGAATAGGCTGGCTGCTGTGAACCTGAGTTTCCTTAAAAAAATGTCCCTGTTCCTTTAAAATTGCTTTTGTATTTTTAAAGACATTGATATATGTGTTTTATTCATCAGTGATAAAAATTAAAATGAAATGATACCTTCTGAGAGGCAAGATCAAGTAGTAATGAACAAATGATCTCTTCTATTCCATTAATTTCTCACCTTTCTTGTTAAGTTTCAATAGGCAGAGTCTCTTTTTAGCATGCAAACTCCCCCATAAAGTTAATAAGCAGCTGTAAACCAAAAGAAATAGATCAAAGACAGACCAGTAATCCTTAAGCTGATCCCAAACTATTTGTGCCCCTGGCGAAATATGAGGCATTTCCTGCCTCTCAGAGACACTAGATTTGCAGAAAAGTAAAAGTCATCTTTATGGCAAGGTCTTCTTTGGGTTGCAAAGCCATTTTTTTACTGTTTGGAAAGGTACTGATTTTGCTTATGTCTTTGAATTCATTCCTGCATGCCTGTGGCTTATGAAAGATATTAAGCCCTGGCCATTGTGGTTCAGTTGGTTGGAGCGTTGTCCTGTGTTCTGCACACTGAAAGGTTGCTGGTTTGTTTCCCGGTCAGGGCACATACCTAGGTTGCAGGTTTGATCCCCAGTGAGAGCATGTACGGGAGGCAGCTGATTGAGATTTCTCTCTCCCTTCCCTTCTCTTTAAAAGAAAAAGAAAAGAAATGTGTAAAAGTTTTTTTTTTTTTAAAGATACTAAGATCATTAGCCAGAACAGTGTCTTCAAACCTCTTTAATTACATAGCCATTGATAAACATTTTTGAGCATATATCCACCAATGTATACATTTATTGGTTAATTACATATGTTCTAAACTAATACATTGTGTTCAAAATAAAGCAAACATAATAAATTTAAACTTTTTAAATCCTCAAGGATATGATTTATTAATTTTTTTGAGAGAGAGAAACATCTGTGTGAGAGACAAACATTGATTGGTTGCCTCCCATATGCACCCCAAACAGGGTTCAGTCCTGCAATCTAGGTATGTGCCCTAACTAGGAATCAAACCCACAACCTGTTGGCTCCAACTGAGCCACCTGGACAGGACTAAATTTAAATTTTTTAAACCTGATACATAAATATAAATAGAAGTTACTTTCTTTCCTCACTCAGAGTCTTTGTGCCATCTAATTAGGCAGCTGATCTAGAAAGGACATGTTGAAGAAAGTTACCCACCTGTTTATTAGTACACATAGAAAACAAAAACAAGTGTTAAGAATTGCCAAATCAGACATTTATTTTCCTTTCATCCTTTCATTTCTAAGAATTTTCCAAATAGACCAGGGTTTGGTCCAGAATATTTTGGAATTAGACTCAGTGCAGTGGTTTTATGGGAGAGAAGCAAGAGGTAAAGAAAATCCATTCTCTCTTTTGTGTTTGAGCCATGGGGTTAGATGCAGAGTCACCGTGTCTTCCACCATGGGGGCACTGACTGCAGGAGAGAGACTGGGTAGAACCCGAAAAAATACAGTGGAACCCAGAGCACTTCTAGCTTCTCCAAGTCAGAGAGGTATGGGTACAGCTAATATACTGGGGGATTTTACAACTTTCACAGTTCCATAAATTCAGGTTGATTAATTATGGATTTTACCCCCAAAGGGGGTAAAATGGTATTTTCCCATTTTACTCTGCACTCTTCTCTTTCATTGAGGAAGAAAATAATTACTTGGAGATCAACCAACTGTGGACACATATTCTATCAGCTGTTCAGAACTAGAGCTAGGCCTTTTAAAGTCAAGGACCGGTGATGTAAATGTCCAGAGTATTATTGCCTAATTTCTAATCCTAAACATTTGGCAAGCCATCTGTCTTTGGTAAGTTCTAAGCAAATACAGGATTTCAGTCCACCTCTCATTTCCTGGACCTGTACCAGATGAAATGTCTGTGTTGGGGATAACTCAGTGCCACTAATCCTTATCCTCCTCTGCTTCCCAGAAAGACAGAAATGCTGCGATTTCTTTAGCCCTCTTGATGGTCAGACATTGAAGGACACAAGTTGCTATTAGCTAATTACTATTACTGTAAACATTTGGCCCTGTTGATAATCATGAACTTGAACCAATAGACATTTCACATGGAGAACTGATTGCTTTAATGATTTGTACCAAAACCCAACTTTAGAGATGAAAATCAGTTTATCTGTTATGAGTAGAAAAAATTGCTATAAAGTACAGGAAATTATATTTTTTGTGTGATTACTTAACACGTGTCCTCACTACCTAGGGACACCTTAGCATTGGGCATCAGGTTGAACGTGTCACTTGGAGATGAAAACTTGACTCAGAAAGAGACATCACTACCCTCATCTCCCAACCTCCATTTTGGCTAAACAACCAATCAGTGTCTGGGTGATCACCCAAGAATCCACTTTTCACTTTATTAGCTATCTTTTAAGGAGGGGGGGGATCTGTTATTTTTAGATACCCATTTGGAGAAAAGTGCAGCAAGTAGTACTCTGGTTTTGCATGTAACAAGAGTATTTTGCAAGCAGTAACTCTCCAGTGTAAAGTGGGCTCGATTTTCCCTAAGCAGTGTCACTGCTTCCCAATGACCCCAGCAGGCCTCTTGTCCTGAAGGCCAGTACATTTCCATGGAAGGACCTGGAGCTTTCTTCTGGTGAAACCTATCCTTTATTGTGGAATCACTCATTTTACAGCCAAGCAGGATGGGTGATTATAAAGGAGATGGTAGCACCCAGCAGTTAGCAGAGGAAATAGATTAACAAGGAGATGGGGGCACCTATGGTAGATCAGAGCCAAGACACTGTTCCTTAGTCACTTCTCTGCCTCTCCACAGTCATGCTGTTAAGCATGCTGAGATTCCTGTTTCATTTTTTCCCCCCTGAAAGAAAGCATTTGTACCTGAGAACAGTTCTTGAAGTGAAAGTTCAAAAGAAATGAGCCTATTAGTTTATAGGAAAAAAAGATTTCACTTGGGCATCAATAAAAGAGGGAAAGAAAGGTGGTAAATCTTAAAGAAAGGCTGGGCAGAGGTGTTCTTTCCAGCACCACTTGAGTGGGTCTGTGTTACTGTATTATTTGTGAAATATTCAAAGTCTTATTAATTATCAACTCTCTGCAAGCAAGGGGCTTCTAGACAGTACTTGTTAACTTACTTTCCAAAGTTAACTTGCAGGTGTAGGGAATTAAATATTTTATCCCAAAGATACATTAGCACATTTTCTTTTGAATTCGATGATCACACTAGAAATTAGACACTCTGTTTAAAAGTTTAAATTTTTTAAAAGAAAATGAAAATAGGTTAAAAGAAGAAAAGCCACAAAAGGAAAAGATGTTTGGATCAGGAATACAAAGAGCTGTGAGGTTATTACAGGAAGGAAAACGGTGGGGAAACTTTCGTGGAGAGGGAGTCAGGTTAGTGTGCTCACATTTATTCAGAAAGCTTACCATCAGCACTAGGTGAAGAAAAGTCATAAGAGGGAGAGTGGATATAAAATATCATTATTTTATCTAAATTTTAAAAAATAAGCCCTCAGTAAATGTAAGACACACCAGTTCTTTATGTTCCACTAAGAACAAAAACACTGCAAATCGTAATTGTACCTTATAATTATCTATGAACACCAAGTTCAGAGATTCTAAAATGTGAAAAATATAGGTCTTAGAACCGTAAGATATAGTAATTGAAAAATAATTTCCCAAGTAAAATAATTATGACACATTATAGGGAAGATATACTTCTTGATGTTATATTATTAAAGAGCTTTCTATTTTTTAAAAAGTATGCTTATGATCATCTCAGTTTATCCTCGTAACTCCAATATTTGCATTTTACAAAGAGGTTGAAATCTTGACAGGTGGTATCTGTGGCAGACCTAGGAATGTAATCTAGGCCTCTTGACTCCAGATCTAGTTTATTACCATCTTCCACCCTCATTCACAGTAGTTCTGCTCTATAAAGTCGCTGTGAACACTGAATTCTGAACCATTGCTCCTACGGGAAATACAGCGCTAGGTTTCTGTGAGCCTCTGGTCACAACATTGTCACCAACCAATCAATACGTGACCTTGGTTTATGTATGTTTTTGTTTAAAGAGACCTTATTTAATATATAGTGTTGGTTGATTAGCATTGAACTCACAGCCAACAGCACTATAACTCATGGCTGAATGAAACTGATCTGACACACATGTTCTCCATAAGGCACATCACAGCCTTCTTTTACTTTGGAACACTAGACGGCACTCAGTTGTACATTTGGAGTACATTTTAAACAGCAAAATCACCAACACTAAGCACAGAAATGCAAAAAGTGTGGCACAGAATTGACCATGAAAAGGATGCTTGTTTGTAGTATAAGAGCTGAAATAAGGCAGAGCATTACCTTGTTCTGCCTCAGCTGGGAATGTGTGCAGCAGGCTGCTCAAACTTTTCAGTGATCTGTAAATGACTAGAAGGTCCACGAATATTGATTTGACTGTTACAGATACATTTTAGTCAACAGGCAAATTTGCAAATACTGAATCCACAGTTACAAAATGGAGAACTAACCTTGGATTACGCAGTTCTGATCCTAGTAGTCCACAGTTGTTATTTTCTAAGATTTTTAAAGAGTAGATCAATGTCAGTTTTGGGGTAA